ATTTATATATATATATATATATATATATATATATGTATATATATAAATGCTTACATGTATAATGTAATATATTAAAAAAAATCAATTTTTGATAAAAATAAAATTTGCAACATGCATGTTTACATTTTGTACTTTCTATTTATATTGTATACATTGATTAAAAAAATCAAAATAGTAAAAATTGTAAGATTTATGTTTTATTTATAATTTTTATTATACGATATGTTTTTAAATAAATTATCATCTAAAAGTTTATATTAGATATTAAAAACATGTTTCTATCATAAATAAATTAAACTTGATTTTTATAGAATTTAACATGTTTATTTTTATATTTTTATTAGTATTAAATTATTATAAAATATGTCTTTAGGATTGTAGTTCTAACTAACATTTACAAAATTTCTATGATAGAAAAATAAGTTATATTTAGAACATATATTTTTAATAAAAGTTAGGCTCAAATCAACTAAATTATAGTATAACTTAGTTTGGCCTATTTTATTTTCATTCATTGTTGTAATTGTAGATATAATAGCTTGTAAAAAATAATCATAATATATATTTATATTTTTTAAAATTATATGTCAAAATTTTAATATTATAAATATATAAATAAATATTATTTTCATTACCTAAAGTTTCTAAATTTGTAACTGATTGCAGGACTTATATATTAAATAAATTTAAAAATCAATTTAATGATATGAAAACTAATAGTTACAAACTGATAGAATTTTAAATGATTGGTTAGTTAAAAATAAATTTTAATATTATAAATATATGAATAAATATTATTATTTTATTATTTTTTTTAGTGTAGTTTGTCTTCTTTATTATTTAGTTTGTTTATTTATACATTTTAAATAAGTGGGAACTTAATTTTGTTTGTGGTAGTTAAAATAATTCCAGACATTTTAGAAGTAAAATTAAGATGCTTTCAATTTCATTAAATTTTTATATTATTGATATTAAAGGGAATAACTACATTCTACCAAATCCACATGAATGAATGTCATATCTTTTAAGACAGTTGGGACTTTGGGATTCTTCCGATGTGCAACCGTCCAATGCTCATGTATAAGTCGAGTTCATTTTTTTTTTAATAAAAAATATAATTATGTTATAATTTTATATTATGTTAAAAATAAATTAAAATTATTATTTTTTTCATAAACATAATCTACATAATATACTAAAATTAACAAATTAAAACTGATTTATGTTTATGAGACGTAAATTTTGTTAGTCAAATATTATTTTTATATTTAAATATAAAAATATGAAATAATTATAAAGTATTATTATTTTTATTATTAGTTTCTTTTTTTGTGTGTGTTAAATTTATAAAAAGATAAAATATATTTTTTATTTTTATAATTT